AGAGTTATAGATTCATTTCTGGATGTTCTATTCAGTTCCATTGATCTATGTGTCTGTATTTGTGCCAGTACCATGCTGTCTTGATCACTCGACTTTGTAATATAACTTGAAGTTTGGAATTGTGATGCCTCCAGCTTTGCTTTTCTTTTTGAAGGTTGCTTTGGCTATTCACAGTCTTTTGTGGTTCCATACAAATTTTAGGACTGTTTGTTCTAGCTCTGTGAAAAATGCTGTTGGTATTTTGATAGACAACCCAATACAAAAATGTTCAAAAAACTTTTGAACAAGCACTTCACAAAAGAGGATAACCAAATGATGAGCCAATGTGGGAAAAGGTGTTCAACCTCCGTAGTTGTCAGGGAAGTGTCAACATCGAGATAACAATCTATCCCGCACAGAATGGCTAAATTAAAAAAGAAGAAACTGTCAATACCAAGTGCAGAGCTGCAGAACAACAGGAACTCTCCTGCCACTTGCGAGATAGAAAATTGGCACAGCCTCTTTGGAAAATTGTTGGGCAGGATCTTCTGAAGCTGTTCATATACATACCCTACAGCCCAGCAAATTGGCCCTTATGCGTATTCTCAACAGAAAAGCATACACGTGAGTATAAATTATCACAACACTATTCACAATGACCCCAACCTGGAAACAACACCAATGCTCACCAAAGTAAGAATGGACAAATATAAAATGGTATACTCAAACAATGGAAAAACTCTCTAGCAATGAACATGAACAAACTTCTATTTAATGCAAAATATGAATGAATTTCATTAATGTAAGCGAAAGAATACTGATACGTCCTCTATGGTTCAATATCTATGATGTTTAAAATCAGACCAAGCTAAATGATGGTTTAATCAACAGGCAGAAAATATCAGTTAAGCAAGATGAATAAGCTCCAGAGGTCGGCTACAGCATTGTGTCTGTAGCCAAAAATGTCCAATTAAAATTTAAGAAGATATATCTGATGGTGTGTCCTTATCACAATAAAATCCACGACAAACAAACAAAAAACTAAACTAAATGATGGTGTTAAAGGTAGGATAGTGGTTACATTGCTGGAGGAGGGAGAGGAGTAACAAGTGGGATTGGACACGAGAGGCTTCCCTGACCCTCATTATGTTCTATTTCTTAATCTCATGGTGATTATAAGTGTGTGTTCCTGTTGTGATAATTCATCAAGCTCTATGCTTCTGATGCACTTTTCTGTATGTTATATATTGATAAACTTTAGGAGATCATAAAGCAGCCAATTGTGGTTACAATACAGATTAAATGAGCATTTATTGAAGGCCTTGTGCTTTTTAAGTATTATTCATTTTCTTCTTCATCATAACCTGATGGAAAATATACTCAATATCTTTATTTTATAGATGGAAATCCTGAGCCTGAGGGGAAGTAAGCAAATTGTCCAAGATCTCACAGCTTGTTTTTCTGTCTTCAAAGGTTTTGTTTTCTGAGCTGTATTTATGTCTCGTCTTGTAGTTTTCTTCAGAATTCACAAATTGCCTTGCAGAAATATTTTACTTAAGTAATCCAGATAGTTGAATTTAATCATGTAAATTCCAAAGAAAGACAATCCAAGGACTGGAACCATTAACAATAATAATAAAAAAAAAAAAGATAAGCCATTGTATATAACTCTGTCTTTGCTTTCCAGATCATTCCTTGAGAATGTAATTTTTCAAGGTAACAGAGAAGTTAACAGAACCTCTCAATAATGAGCCTAGGATACTTGCTAGAGCCCTGCAAGTTAAATGTAGCTGAAATAGGAAAGTAACCATGATTTACTTCATTCACTCAAAGTGAAAGAAATATAACTTTTAAACATTTTTCTAAATTAAATCAATCTGTTCTCCCACACATTCACCAAGGTTGGAAGAAAATCCAATTTTTAACTGACAGAAAATCTAATTTTATTCATGGAGTGAGTAGGCGAGACCTGTTTTCTATCTCAGAATTCTAGGAGGAATCCCAGGGCCTACTGGAAATTTGAGATGGGACTTTGACCTTGACCTCACTGTCAAATGTTCTCCGTCCAAGCTGAACAATGTATTCCACACCAAACTTCACAGCTAGGAATCTCACTGTTGCTTGATCATGCAGGCGTCCCCCATGTGAGAACTGGGCAGCCCCTCCCACTTATAAATTCGTTTCTGCCACCTACTTCCCTCAAATACAGGGCACCCTACTCTCAACTCTTAAGAGCTCTAACCTTTTTAGATAATTCAGCTCCTGGACTGCATTCTAGGAAAACTATTGGAAGAACCTAAGGGACTTATAACCAAAATGTCCTGGGCAGCACGTTGGAAACATCTGGAAAATGTTTGGCACACAGTTTAAGCAGATGTGTATGTATGGAAATTTCCAGAAAATAGATTGATAGGGCTCCAGCCAAAGCAGTCGAAGTTTAACTTGATTCTATAGTCACAGACTGGGTGTGCCTGGGTATTCCCCCCAAGGAACAAGACCAGCCTTTAGAATTTCCCAAAAGCTATGGTTTGGGAAAAGCAGAACAACGTGCTTGGGATGAGGACGGCACTTTTTTGGGCAGGTCATCAGTGACAGAGGAAGATCATGTAGTGGAGACTCTATAGATGTAGAATAGCTCCCTGGATGTGCATGGGTACATGCATGTGCAGAAAGAAGAAGTGGTAGGGCTCCCCTCCCTTCTAGAATGTCATGCAGCCTGAGTGGTGTTGCAAGGAAGTTCCTAGGAAAATGGGGGAGGGGGGCATTGAAATAAAATTTCCTTAGGAGTAACTCACACCCTTAACTGGTTTTCTCAGGGTTGGTGTGGTCTAAGAAACAAAGCTTGCGTGTATTTTGGTCTATGCTAATATAATAGGATTAATAATTACAATAATTACACCGGTCAGTGAGCCTCACCTACATTCCAGCTACTGTGCTAAGTGCTTTAGATTCATCATGCTGGTTACCATCCTGAAAGTAAATACCCATTAGCCCTATTTCACAGGGCCAAGTAAACCTCAGAGTTGTTAATACATAACATATCCAGGATTCAAGTCCAAGTCCAAATCCAAAGGCTGTGTGTTTACCATTATTCCACATTTTTTTCTTGAGAATAAAGCCAATGTATATGATGTTATTCCCTTCTTACCAAAGCTCTGGGTCCCAAAGTTGACAATAGACATGCTGGATTTGAACTGCTAGGACCAGTTGGGAGAGAATATGAACCTTATGCAAGCTGGAAAATAAAGAAATAATTTACTAGCAGCAATGAATTTGAATTTTGTTTTTTTAGGTTAGTAGTGGTTTTTTTCCCTTTTTTTTCCAATCAAAGTATATTTGACACATAATGTTACATTAGTTTCAGGTGTACAACGTACAACAAATTTCTATGTTGTTCTATTCTCACAAGTGTAGCTACATCTGTCACCATACAACACTATTACAGTATCACTGACTATATTCCCTATGATGTACCTTTTATTCCATACCTGGAAGCCTGTATCTCCCACTCCCCTTCATCCATTTTCCCATCCCCCACCCCCTTTTCATTGCATGGGTGGAATGGCAACAATATTTCAATAGTTCTGAAACAAATTAGAATGTGACTCCTTTTTGTTTGTTTGTTTTTGTTTTTTGTCCCAGGCAATTAGATCTACTGCTCTCTTGCCTCATCTTAAAAGAAAAAAATGGAAAAGTTTTAGTAATTATAAAAAAAATTAGAAAATAAGCACTCTATGAATTGTACACTTTAAACAGATGAGTTTTTTTAAGTCGGTTAAAAATGTTTTAATTGTTAAAATACATTGGTAAATTGAGTAATCTACATTGCAGTACTAGGTGGCTACACGGTCAGATTAAGAACTTTTCAAATACCCTACTAACCATCAGTTAGAAGTCCTTGAAAATAGTATAGGATTAACATGATGAGAAGCTGCAATCACGCAAAGGAGAATGGAAGTATCAATGGCTATGAAGGATTGGTGGTGACATATGCCTTTGACGAAAGAATACAGAAAGTCAAAACGTGCATTATATCAAAAACTAATGATATACTATACATTGGCTAATTGAATCTAAATTTAAAAAAACGTGCATAGGGCATGCAAATTTCATTGGCTCATTTTTAAATACTGCAATGCAATACATTGTTCCTAACAAAAGAAATTCTCTGACACTTAAATAAAGCTGAAAACCAAATAGTAAGAAAAGGGAAAGAGATAATAGTAAGAATCAATTTAACCATTTTACAACTAAAAATGTGAAGTAGAAATAGTGAAAGGTAACACACAAATATGTTACTTTAGGTAATTCATTTATAGTGCCTTATCTTAAATTATAAATAGAATAAGGATTTTGTTATATAAAAACTATCAAAAAATTATCAGTGAAAAGACACGATCTTCATGAGCTGTGTTGAAGCCAGTGTGAAAATGCCGCAGCAGTGTGTCAGCCTGTCTTTCACAGGAGGACCCCAGAAAGTTCCTTATACCCGTGTATTGTTCACCCAGTTCCTTTCTAGTACCGCAACATTCAGCGTGTACCCACGGTTTCAACTATGGGAGGGAAGGCGGAGCAGTCAAGTGTTTATAATTTCCTAGGAAATTTCTGTGCACATTACGACGTCCCACGGAATGAAACTCCTTCCAAATCTTAATGAGCAAGCTCTTGATGACTGAGTCATGATAGTTTCTTCTAGTTTTTTCGTACAGTGTTTGATTGGATACCGTACTGACAGCTTCAGATGGTAGACCTGCATATCCCCCTTCCATAGTTCCTCCTGTTGTCATCTACCCTTGCTGATTCTTCCGGTACATCTTCAGCTGTTCTTGCAGCTCCTCGGCCGGGCCGTGCTCGTGGGGGTGGAGTTCCCGCAGCCCGTAGAGCCGCGGGCCTGGCCTGGGAAGGGGACGTCGGGAGCTGGCCGCCGGGGGTCCTGGGGGCGGAGGCGGAGGCGGAGGCGGAGGCGGAGGGCGGCGCCCAGAGCGGGAGGCTCGCGGAGGTGGGGACGGGGGGACGTAGCGGCGGGCGGGGGGTGCGGACGCCCCCTTTCGCCGCGGAGGGACTAGAGCCAGGGCGCTGCGGTCAGGCGCGGGCCAGGGCAGAAAACCCTGAACGGATTTTTATGGTAAGTAAATTGTATTTCCCTAAACTGCTAAAAATAAAAGTATACTTTCATATTAAACAGTTATTTGTGTGACTGGTTGCACAGATTCCCTCCTATCATTTGTCATTCTACAATCAGCCCCTGTGTGCGGCTGCACAGTTGGACGTTTCCAGGGCGTTGCCGTTATAAATGCCACTGTTTTACAAAGGTATGTATAAATAGCTTTTATTATTTTAAGATAAATTTCTAATAGTGGATTCAATAGATCAAAAGCTATGACTCTTTTAGGGTTCTTGTTCTCTGTTGATAGAAATAGTGCACCAATTTTAATGGCACTGCCAACTTGGAGTTCACACGTATCTTGCTGGTCTTTCCAGCCTCTTCTTGATTTGATGTAGTTGAGTGGCTAATATCAGATGTACTTTATAATTTCGGAAAAGTTCAACTAGTTTTCCTTATTTCTTCCCTGTATGCTAAGAATTTTTCTGCAAGTGTTTTAAGGATGAGGTATTGCTAGCTCTCGATTAAACTAAAATGAAATACATTTTTATAACCTAGTATTTAAAAAAGAATAAAAATAGTAAAGTTTTTTTTTTTACTTTTCTTACTTTTCTTCCTTGTTTTCCCTGTGTGTGGTACAGTTCACTCTTTCCTTGTTGTTATAAAGATGTTGATAACATCTGCAAACAAGACAATACCGAAGACTTTAAACGTTATAAGCATCCCTCCCCCCAAAAATAAAAAATAAAAGTATGAGCATCCCATTTCCTAGATGAGGTTACAAATTGTATAGACTGTAAATGCCCATTTCTGTTTGTTATTTAGCTGTTACCTTCATCTTATGTATTTAAAAAAGAATTGGCTTTAAAAAAGTGGGGGGTGGTATTAATGTGACTTTTGCTTTAGGCACTGAGGAGTGTAAAAGACTCCAGAGTAAATTGTGGCAATCAGATTATGAGAATCTTGAAGCCTAAAACAATGTCTTAATTCCTATCTTGAATCTTTCAAAGTATACAGTAAGTGCTTAATAGGATCTCATTAAATAACATTAAATTTTCACTTCTGAGCAATTTCCCACGATTCCAGTCAGTAGGAAGAAATTTCAGGTGTGGCCTGAAGGTTGGTTCTATCTATAATAAGTATCTGCTCTCAAAGTGCAAACTAATAGGAAAACATCTTAATAGCATTTATCATCCAGTAACAATATATTTATCATTAAGAAGTTGCTGTGTGAATTGAACAAAGCTGAAGGCATTTAGCTTTGCATTATAGTTTGCTAAACAGAGAATCTAAACAAATTTTCAGAGGGAAATGTTTAACCAATTTAAGAGAACTATTTTCAAGTATTACAATAGTTTCCATTTGCATAAAAATAAATGCTGACTAAAAATGGACCTTCTTTATTTTTTTATTTTATTTTTTTAAAGATTTTATTTATTTATTTGAGAGAGAGAGACACAGCGAGAGAGGGA